TTTATTCAATTAAACACAGCCGTGAAAACACAGCAGACCTGTGCTTTTAGACGATCCCTCCTCCTCTTCCTCCTCCACTTCTGCTCTGTCTGAATCATTGGTTGCCGTGTCCTGGGAGATGCTCATAGCAGTCATCTGCTGGGTCACCGGGCTGGTCGAACTACTGCATAAACACAATCCAACCAAATACAGGAGTTATTTGTTATAATTCCTTCCTATACCATCATAAGCAGATTGTGCTCATTAAGAGATTACCACTGAGCTAGTTTGAACCAATTCAAGCACGATCAGTCTCAGATTTATAAAGACTTATTACCAAGACGTGCGTTCTTCAGGCGGGCTAACGGCTTCCGTGGGGGGAACAGGGGTGGACTCCACTGTTACTGCAGACGCACCTGGGGAACCTACAGGAGATGTGGCCGCTGGAAGAGACAGACAAGGAGCTAACCATGAACTCTTCTTAACTTCAAAACTAAGTGAATAAATTAGGTTCTGAATGCAATAAGTGCATTTGACACTGAAAGACTGATTTACCTTTCTCACCTGGGGGACTGTTTCGCCCCCCACCTTGTTGTCTCTGCAGATGTTCCTTGTAGCAGACAGAGCACATTCCATTGGTGCGAGGGTTACCATAGAAACCGCATCCCATAGTGCAAAGCATTGGCACCTGCGTCTGATTTGTCTCCTGAGCCATGCTGTTTGAGAAGGGGGGTGAGGGGGACGGGAGATGGCAATCCTAAAGATGCGGTTGAATAATTAGCATTTCATCAGCATAATTTACTAGCATTAGTGGCTAAAAGACCTTACATTAAAGGAAATAGTATCTAAAAATGAAAATTGTCAATATTTTACTCTGCATGATGTCCTTCCTGACATGTATGACATTTTTATGAAACACAAAAATAAAATAAACAGAGATCCTTCCTTGTATCCATTGGCTAACAAGTTCCAAAAAAGGCATATAAAAGCATAAAATAATGTACCGGTAACTAGAATGCCATTTTCCAAGCCACATAACTTTGTATGAATATAGTATACCAGCCATATATTGGACTTTTATGGGGCTTGACAGCATATGGTCACTATGAACTGTTGTATGGAAAATATTCTTTAAAAACTATTTTTGTGTTCCATGAGGGAAAAAAATAACATATAGGTTTGTAATGACATGAGGCCAAGTAAACAATGACAGAATTTTTATTTTTAAATGACTTACTTGGTTACACTTATTAAGGTGTCCTGGTTACAGTGTTATTACACAAATACATACGGAGTAATATTATTTAACATGTACTAAGTGTTAGGGTTTGGTTTAGTTGCTTGTATTATGCATAATTTACTTTTTTTTTTAGCAATATAGAGTAAATGTAATGTATAACATGGACACTGTAAAATAAAGTGATAAAATACATTTCTTAAATACATTTAGAACTAAAAATGCATAACTCCTATCACAACACATATCAGAATATACAAATAAACTAAACTAAATGCATCGAAATGGACATCATCCTTTGTGCTCTACCCTTGACTTTGCTGAAAGGTTTTGAAGAAAACATTTCCATTCATATTTTGTTAATTTACTCTTGACATGGCTGAATTTGTCCAACGCCACCATATATTAAACAAACGATGTATATAAACTAGATAGGAAGATAAAATAGAGAGACAAAGTTTATAAATTAAACTTGTAAAACTGTTCAATGTTGCTGGGCTCCCATTAGAATGAAACCCCAAATTAAACCCCTTTGATTTATTTGTTTGTGACCCTGCTAGATGCTGACAATATGCTGCATGAAAACAATAGTTTCTTTGTTCGCTTTTTGTTTCTCAAACAAGCAAACGAATGATCCAGGTTACAGAAACCTTAACAGCCTGCTGATCAAACGACGATTAACAATCTGGCAACAGTTGCGCTTCAATGCATATAAAATACAGCAGTAAGTGTTTAATATAGAAGTTTAGCATAACAATTTGACTAACAGATTACCAAATAAACGGGAATAAATTAGGTTATTTTGAAACATGTCCAGTAAAAATCAGCTGAGAGCGTCTCCGCAATTAGAAAAACATTTTGTCTTTGACCCTAGTATGGCGACAAACAACAAACCGAGGTGTTGTCAGCGTCAAAGTGACATCGAAAGCAAATACAATCCTTCAAAATATTTAACATTACGTACAGATATCCGTGTTGAAATTGCTGAATAGATGAAAGTCGATTTGTTTGTGATATTCAACTAGCCAGGCTAACGCGCTAGCTCTGCTAATGGCTAGCCGACGTGATGGCACGCACACAAATTGGACAGCTGGGGCCTCGAGACCGTCCCACGAACACTTGCGGTGGCTTAAAACCTCCGTTCGCTCGAATATTTACCCGTATTTCCGTGTGACTGGGGAGAAATCGACGACCTTGATCCCCAGAAATCTGACAGAGTAGGTTCCTGCTATGCGCGTGCGGCCTGCTTCTCTCTAGTGATGTGTCGTTCATGAACGATTCGTTCATTTTGAACGAATCTTTAATATGACTCGGGACTACCGAGTTGTCTCAGAGAGTGATTCGTTCATTTTGTGTTGATCGCGCATGCGCATTGCGCAACATATGGTTTCTGAATCTGTACTGGAAATGATTAGTTCATCTCTCTCGAGTTCGGGTTCGGGACGGGTCCGAGTCTTTCGATCTTCCTGTCAGTCCCATAGAGGCTATGCTGTCAGTACCGGAAAGAGTAATGATTAGTTCATCTTTCGAGTCTCGAGTTCGGGTTCGGCCGGGTCCGAGTCTTTCGTTCTTCCTGTCAGTCCCATAGAGGCTATGCTGTCAGTACCGGAAAGAGTAATGATTAGTTCATCTTTCGAGTCTCGAGTTCGGGTTCGGCCGGGTCCGAGTCTTTCGTTCTTCCTGTCAGTCCCATAGAGGCTATGCTGTCAGTACCGGAAAGAGTAATGATTAGTTCATCTTCTGAGTCTTCGGGTTTGAGTCCTTCGTTCTTTTGTCACGTGACTTGTCACAATTCACAACCTTTTTACAAACAAGCACGTAGTTAATGTATAATATAATAGTAGTTAATTAATGTATAATATATAATAAAACACACCACAGATGCACAAGAAACATTTAAAGAAACGGACAGGGACAATAATAAGATGGAACTTTTATTTTTCAGATAATGTTTATTTCACATATTTTGTATTTTAATTCCTAAATATAAAACAATATACATTCAGACGCAGTCAATAATACGAATCTAATATTGTATTTGATGCGAGATACCAGCGGTCACGTGACAAAAGAACGAAGGACTCAAACCCGAAGACTCGAAGAAAATGAACTAATCATTACTCTTTCCGGTACTGACAGCATAGCCTCTATGGGACTGACAGGAAGAACGAAAGACTCGGACCCGGCCGAACCCGAACTCGAGACTCGAAAGATGAACTAATCATTACTCTTTCCGGTACTGACAGCATAGCCTCTATGGGACTGACAGGAAGAACGAAAGACTCGGACCCGGCCGAACCCGAACTCGAGACTCGAAAGATGAACTAATCATTACTCTTTCCGGCCCTGCTGTATCACACACGGCACGGCCCAGCAGACAGATCAGAGTCAGACACTGACGAGTCGACAACTAACGTCTCGAGACACAAGAGGAGGAGAACAAACCTGATAAATATGAAGTTGCAAAGGAAAGAACGTCTCGGATGAGGAGGTGAGGTGAACTAACAGAATCAGACTGCAATAGCCTGAACTTAAAACCCAACAACTAATCAATTCATAAAAATTTCGGTTTCTTATAATTTGGCTTTGGCTGCATTACCCTATAATTTATTTTTATTCTTTTTACAAATGTAATCAACATTTTCGTAAGTTCTAGATGTGTTGGGATATTTAACATGCCATTTTAATTATATTATGCTGAAATGAACGAAATGACTCGAAAAAAGATTCGTTCATTTTGCTGAACGAGACTCAAAGATCCGAGTCAGTAAAATGATCCGAACTTCCCACTACTACTTCTCTCAACGTCATCTGAAACAACGGGTGTGACGTCACCCGAAGCGCAACAATTTGGCCATCATCGAAACCCCATCATCACACTTCCCCCCGGCCCCTAGTCCACACACCAACAAATGCTTCCAAGTATTTCTATACCTTACGGTGTATTTATGTATTTAAATGCTTGTTTTGAGACAACGTTGGTTTGAATTGTTATGGATGAAAAAGTTACAGATATCTTAGGGAATAGGGAGGGCAAAATGGTCATGTGCAATTTACACGTGTATCCTTTCATTTTCAATTTCGGTGTCAAAGCTTCCTACTTCAGCTTCTTTCATGTATTGCAACCCCATGTTAATGCAATATACAGTATATTATAACAGTAGGCCTATGCATTATTCTATTTTTGCTGGTTCCTGTCCTTTTGTTTAAGCCAAGACCCACAGGTGAATATGAAAATGAGTCATTATCTAATTAATTGCTCACTGATTTGCATTTTCAGAACAGAAATTATAACATTGGATAAAATTAAAATTCTGATATATTTACATTTAATCATTTAGCAGACGCTTTTATCCAAAGTGACTTAATTAAACTATAAAGGACAACAATATGCAAGTGCTGGTACCCTTTCCAGTTTAGTCTAACGCAGTATACGTTTAAAAAAAAAAAAAAAAGATATAGAGTAGAAGAGAAAAGCAAAGAAAGTGTTAGTATTAATGGATCAAGTGTTGCCGGAAAGATGAGTCTTCAGCTGTTTCTTGAAAATGGCTAAAGACTCAGCAGCCCGGGTTGAGTTAGGCAGGTCATTCCACTAGCAGGGACCAGTCCAGGTGAAGGTCCCACGAGGCAAGATGGCACCACGAGGCAAGTAATAGCACTTGCATCTATGATATTGCATAAACATGACCCCAAATATGCTGAAATGCTTAAATATTATATATTACCTCTCCATAGAATCCTTCATTTGTGCTCAGAAAGCAAAAACAAATGGAAGAAATAGAAATAATTTCTTTCACAAAAGTATTTTATTTAATTGATCGATTGATTTTGCATTTCAAACAATCAACTGATCTCTTTTGCAGGAGTTGTGACATAAACATCATGAATTAGAAAACCAGGGACTATGTGGCTTGCTCATATTTAGAAAGTATGATGTATTCAGTATTTGATAGTGCGACAGGTTTGAATGCGGCAGTGTAGCACCTGCATTAGCTTCCATACGGCAGTGGTTTCAATGCTTGGTTTAAAATACTGACATTGTTAAAATTATAATTTTGCAATTTTATGTTCATTATACTGTCATTTTTAAAAATGTAGTATGAGTCTAATGACTCATAGTTAAAACTAGTTAAAATTCTGAAATGGAAATGGTTACAACATTCAACAATTTGCAGCATATATTAACCTATTTCATTAGACTATTGTGCATTTTCAATCGCCTTTCTCTGTTATCTGAGGTGCAAAAGGCCCAACCAGCCAATTGAGAGGAGTGTTATTGAGAAGGTACTCCACGACTCCATCCAAAGATTGTCGTACCTGTTAAAAGATGAAGATTGATGAACACTGTCTACATTCTATGTACATTTTATAATAGATTAAAACAGAATAGAGCATGACAATTGATGTACAAAATGGCATACACTCGACTCAAACTGACTGTACCTGGCCTATCTGCTGACGCGTCTGCTGTAAGAGAATGGGTGTGAGTGTCCTGGTGCTGCTCAGAGATGCCTGGAGTTCTTCAGCTGTATGTCGAGCATTCAGAAGCTGTTCCTGCACAGTGCCTGGGAGACCCTGTACGCTGGACACAACACCTGAACATGCTACCTTTAGCTGATCACTCAAACCCCGTACCATGGACAGGGCTCTCCACTCCAGCTCCTATGGGGAGATATCCACATATACACACTGAGAATGTGTCTTGAGTAAGATATTCATATTTTGTATTGCATTTTCAAAGTGAAATACATCCAAAAACAACAAATACAAAGTGTATCTGTACCTCTCCCTTGCCTTTTGCTGCATCCACCTCAGACTCTTCTGTTACTTTTTCCTGCAGTTCTTTGGGCTGCCCTTCCTTCCATTCTTTCCATCTCTGAAGTAACTGCTCCGGAGCGCCCCCTAGCTGCTGGCTGGCACTGGCCAAAGTAGCCCGGGTACTTTCCAGCAGGTCCAAAGTGCTGGTCATTTGAGTCACAGTGGCATGGGTAGTGTCTCTGGCCTTGCGGGCCCTAAGCAGGGACTGCTCAAGCGCCCTCTCCCGAACCTTGGCAGACAGCTTACCCAGGCGGACGAAGTAGCTGGGGCTAGTAGTTACCATGAATCCTTCCTCCTCACCTGGCCTTGGTTCAGCCAGTGCAGCTGGAGGCAGAAGACACAAAACTGATGTCAACACCTTAAATTCATACATATATAGTCAAAGTTTGGGGCCAGTCACATTTGTTTATGGTTTCCAAAGGCTCATAGGCTCCCCAAGGCTGCATTTATTTGATCAAACACAGGGCAAACAAGAGTAATGCTGTGAAATATTATTAAAATAACCAAATTCGATTTCAATGTATTTAAATGTAATGTATTTCTTTTTTATGTCATTTATTGGTGTGATGGCAAAACTGAATTTTCAGCAGCCAGTCTTCAGTGTCACAACATCCTTCAAATCATTGAAGCAAAAACAATATAATAAATAATTTTTAGATTTTAGATAAATTAGATTTTTTTTCAATGTAAAAGGGTTTACTGTCACATTTTTATCAATTTAATGCATGCTTGCTGAATAAAATGTATTAATTTTCTTTCAGAAAATCTTTCTGACTTTTAAACAGTAGTATATACTGTATATATTATAGTAAATAATCAAATAAATATACAGTATATGAAAGAAAATCATACATATTTTTTATTGTATTAAAAACTTTAATTTCTAGGTAATAATGCAATAGCAGGGCTTGAAAGTGAAATGTTTTCTTAAAGCTGCATTCCCTTTTGCTCATTAGCTCTTGCCAGAACTGAAACAAAAAAAGTATTTCCTCCAAGAATGTGCTCTTTGCCCTTTCATTGTGATAATGTATATCCAAACAAGAGGCTAACTGAGAAGAGAACATTTTTAGATTACTTTAGCTGATGTTACCTTTAACTTATATATTTTTTGTCATTTTCAAAGTCATTTTTTAACAATAATTAAATTGCTGGGTCTGAAGTGCAACTCCACTTACCAAGCTCCTTTTCACTAAGTGCAAGGTTCTGATCCACCCAGTCTTCAGAGTGAGTAAGGGCCTTATCTACACCATTACTGACCATCTGGCCCACACGGCTCCCCATGACAGTGTTTATCCCTCCGGTCACAGCCATACGTGTCTTTTCCACACCTCCCAACACGGCCCCCACCACAGCATCCTTTGCTCCTGTTACTGACTGGTACATCATGCCCACTGTGTTGGAGACCAGCTGCAAGTCAAGTCAAGTCACCTTTATTTATATATCGCTTTATACAATACAGATTGTTTCAAAGCAGCTTTACAGTAATAAACAGGAAAAATTATGTATTCTGGCTGTTGTTCAGCTCAGTGTTGAGTCATATCCATTGTAAAGATCATCAATTATTAAATTAGTTAATTTCTATAAAGCAGTACTGCAAAATAAAAAAATGATGTCTTCGTCCAGCTCAGTTCAGTTCTCGTCAGTACATTGAGATCGATAATATTGTTGAATATTAAGTGCAATGGAGATATTTACAATGATTCATTGAGTGATTCAAATGTAGAATAAGTCAGTCTAGGCTTTACCTTGTCTGCTGGTTGTTGTAAAATTGGGAGGTTTTCTTCTACCTTGTCCAGGCCTTTCATGGCATATTCATTTACCACTGCAACTGCAAAAGAGAAAGAACACACAAAACAACTGCTTTTATTTAACAACCAGCAGGAAAAAAAAGTAATACATTGGCAGACAGAAGTTTGCAATAATTGAGATATAATAACATTTTTTAATTAAGATATAATCTTTTTTTTTGAAGAAGTCTCTTCTGCTCTCTAAGACTGAATTTATTTGATACAAATACAGAACAAACAGTAATATTGTGAAATAAAATATTACATTTTAATATAACTGTTTTCTGCAAATTTATTGTAAAATATTATTTATGAAAAAAGCTGAATTTTCAGCAGCCATTTCTTCAGTCTTCAGTGTCACATGACCTTTTAGAAATCATTCTAATATTCTGATTTAATGCTTTATTATTATTGGTGCTCAATTATTAATAATAGTTCTTTTTATTATCAGTGTTAAAAACAGTTTTTGCTGCTTAATATTTTTGTGGAAACTGTGATAAATTTTGCCAGGATTCTTTGATGAATAGAAAGTTAGAAAGAACAGAATTTATTTGAAACTTAAAACTTTCACAACATTATGAACGTCTTTACTGTCATTTTAATCAATTTAATGCATCCTTGTTGAATAAAAGTATTCATTTCAATTTTATTAATTTTTTTTTAGAAAAGATTGTAACAAAATATTAAGAAGCAGCAACGTTTTCAACATTGAAATGTGTATTGAGCAGCAAATGAGCATATTAGAAGGATTTTTGAGGATCATGTGACACTAAAGACTGGAGTAATAATCCTGAAAATTCAGCTTTGCATCACAGGAATAAATTACATTTTAAAATATATTCAGATAGAAAACAGATATTTTAAATTGTAATAATATTTCACAATATTGCTGTTTTTACTGTATTTTTCATCAAATAAATGCAGCATTGATGAACAAAAGAGACTTCTTTCAAAAACATTTAAAAAAAATCATAATTATTCCAAACTTTTGACCATCAGTGTACAAACTACCGTAACTTTACTAACAGCATCTAGGTTTAAGAAACTCACTCTGAGGTTCCAGCCGGTCTAGTATGGGTTTGGAACCCGTTGAAGCAGCGGCACCTAGTGTTCGCACCCCGCTCTCTGCCACCTCCATTACTCCTTTCAGGAGTGGCACGCTGTCTTTAGTAGTGCTGTAAGCATTATACACCGCACCACATGCTGAACTCACCAGCGGCAGGTTGCTCATTCGGGAAACCACACTCTGAAACACAAATTAGTTGCTATTTACTCTACTTTTGATGCACAATGGGGCTCATTCATGAAACATAACAGAACAAACTGTCCATAAAAAGATTTTAATGCTGAACTTCTGTTTTGTAACTGTATGTGAGGGCCATGAAACACATGACTCACTTGTTCCTGAGTAGCCTGTGATGCCTCTGTGTCCATCTCTGCTGACTGCCCATTATCTGCCATTCTGTGGGAAAAATTTTTTTTTGCACTGATAATCATGGATAGTAGAGATCCATCTCAGAAACACAAAGGCACTGGCACCAATAAAACTCAAAGCCTGGTCAGAAAAAAATCAGATAAGCAAATGATGACAGAATTATAAACTATATAAAAATTATAACGCTAATCCTAACACTACAATCTGATTGGTTGGTATGTTGTTCCAGGACCAAGACTGATCATGTCCTACTTGGGCGAGTCACATTAAATGAGGAGTGAACACATCATACTTCTGTGCAAATTACGTGAACCATTATAGATGAACTTGGTTTATCATATCAAATAAGAGACCAAAAAGAAGATTATAATGTAGAATAATATAATATAAAATAATATAAATTTGTATAATTATATAGGCTACATTTATATAATATGCTATGTATATTTTATTTACAAAACAACAATTTATATTTATTTAAAGTCTTTCTTTAAACCTAAGAAGAGAACTTTCACTTATATTATCTTTTGTAGCAAAGCCGTGTCCTCTCAACCTCCCTTTAGTTTAGGTGGTCGAAAACGAATAATAATAGGACATAAAAATCTATTTTGTGACACTTATAAAGCTCAGATAACAGTGGGGAAATCATCCTCCATTGGCAAGATAACATATCTTTGCTACATTTTAAAGAAGTGGGCGTTAAGATCCCGTCATCGTAATGATGACCTTCGTAATGACAAATCAAGAGCGTTGAATAGAGGAAAAGGCGTAAACTTTCACCCACTTCCTGAGAAATTTTATTGTTGCGCCATTGATTCCGTGTGGATTGGAATCTGACAGCTAGAGGAGACTGAAACAATATACTTGACAAACCGTCTTAACAACATTTTAATCTTACAATAGACTTTTTTGCGTACTGTAGTCATAAATGTATTTTTGTTTCTGAGTCGCGGCTTGTTTAACTGCGCGTGAAGAAACTTTTAGCCAACTGAAGAAAAAACGTAAGCGTAGGCTCGCGCTCGGTCTTTGATAGATCTATCTACTGACATAACATTAACGCACCGATGAAAAAAAACTGTTACTTGCCATCCCACAAAACTCTTGTCAGACTCATTTTCCTACTGTCTTAGACAGCTGTCATAGAAACTGACCTGTTATTGATCTCTGTTGTCCCTCGCTGACCCGCGTGCAGTATGTGGGAGTCTCAATGTAATCGCTGTGTCTAGGCAAGAGCCTGAGTCAACTTGACGCAATAAAAGTGCAAAGTTAGGCGGAGTTCTTTGAAACAAACCAATCAGCCTCTATGAGATCTCTTATTATGAAACTACCCTCAATTATGGATTCCTTCTTTTAAAATTGTTGCCTTTTTAGCATATTTAATATGATTATTATTGCCTCTCTCTCTAAACCTAAATGTTCCTCAGATTAATTATTGTTTGGCCAGACTCCCCAAATTGTGCCACCCAAGAAAAATCTGTTTAAACAAAGCATTTTTAAAAACAACCTATAATTATTATTATTACTGTAAAATGTCTCCAGAATACAATTGTCTTAAATGAGAACATAATCTATTATAACATTTTATGTATCCTGTTAATGAGCTACTTAATCTCATAGTATTTTGGACCTTTATATACCAGATTTATCAGGGTGCTGATAAAGATACTGGCAGATTACCAGTTATCATTGTCATTAACCTTTTGAGTTCATCTGAGGTGAAAGAAGCAATATGATACTCAAGTATGTAACTAAACATCTTTGGAAGTCTCGAGCTGCACAGCATGAGTTTTTGAAGCCCAGACAGGCCTCTGAGGTTCTGGTTTGGTCCATAATCCATCCCTATCCCTCCTTGTCTATGGCGGTTAACACTCTGACAACCACACAAGATAAGATATGGAATCTTATGACGATATGAAATCAGTGATAAAAAAACCCGCCTCTACACTAATGCTAATCATTTCAGATAATGGTGATGTGTAAGTTGTTGATGACGTGTACACTTTAACTGATACTGCACTATACTGAAAAAAATACCTATTTTGTTTTCAAACATTTGACTTGGCAGCGGCTGCGAGCTTAAGTACAATCAACTTGGATGTTTAAGTCATTTCAACTTATATTGCATTAAACTGACTTAAAATAAGTTGAATCTTGTATAGCATAAAAAAGTTGAAAATTGCTTAACTTATTTTGATGAGTTAAAGCAATGTAAAAACATGTTGTTGTAACTTATTGATCATATATATATATATATATATATATATATATTTACAGTGTAGTGTTTTCATTTAGCTTTTATTTTTATATTTCAATTTTAATTTAGTTTTAGTAATTTTGTTAGGTGCTTTTGTCATTTGTTTTATTTATAAAATATACAGTATGTCTATATAGATTTAATGTTTTTAAGTAGAAATGTTTGTACTTCGACCTAAACTTATTTCAGATTGTTGCCAAGGCAAAGTTTGTAAGTTTTTAATTTAATATTTTATTTTATTTCAATTACAGAAAACGATTTTTATTAGTTTTAGTTAACAGTATAACAATACTGAAGCAGATAATGGAAATGAGAATTACAAAACAAAACACTTCGAATGAATGAATCATATCTTTCTTATGATATTTTATGTGTGATGCAAGCAAAGTCAAATTCAGTTAACGTCCACAGTACTTTTTAGAGAGTCTCCATTTAATTCATGAAAAGTAATATTCAAATTACAAAAATCATAATGATAATAATTTATTCACTGACTCACTGTAGATAGACAATTCTTTGGTAGTGAAGAAATATTCAAAATAAAGATTTGAGAAAACACACAAGTGCTAAATAAATTTGAACCAAGACAAATTAATCAAAACACAAACACTGCTGCCCCACAACTGTTAAAACACTACTTTTTTTTTTTTTTACCTTGTTTAAACTGTTAGTGTCATCGAAGTCTTACGTGTTCAATGTAACAAAAATAAGTGTCTTTCAATTACTGTGAGAACAAAAGGCAAAATATGGCACATTCTATACATCTGTTGACATATTACCAGGAGTCAGGGCCAACTAACATGCATTACATACCAGATTAAAAGGTTGAATTAGAAAGAACAAAGTTAAGGCAAAAAATTCTGCAAGTCTTTTGAAACCAAACTATAGAAACCATTAGGTGTTAAAATGCCTGAGTGTAAAAAAAAAAATCATTTTAGTGTAAGACATGTTTTTGTATTCACCGGGTACACAGATCCTCTGGAAAATCTTGCACATTATTGTGCTGGTTGATGGAAATGTCTGACTTGTTTTAATGCTCACTTTACAATCTCACACTCATTTTTCACAGCTTTTTACATTTTCTCTTTTAGTTAACAAATCTTTTAAAACTTCCAAAATCCTTTTTTCATAGATATCATGGATATTTATTCATCTCTTACAAAAACATACGTATAAAAAAGAAACAGAAACGTATATCATTAATATAGCATTGCTTGAAGACAGAAGACAGGAAAGCTATAAGAAGTGGACCAAGCGCTCTTTTCAGTACACACACCCATTGACTCCACCAACTCCATAGCAAGTGCCACTGTATCAGTGAGGAAGGCAGCTCAATCCAGGTTTCCAAACAGAAACCCATCCTATTGGTGTGGTGTCAACACACCTTAAAGACACAATATTGATCCATTCGTGAAAGGAAACCGCAGACTTGATAAAACCAAGCAGGAACCAATCAGAATGCATATTTTTGCATTCGTCACACAGCTCACAATATGAGAAACACAGAAATAGAGATAAAATGCTTAGAATAGGCAGAGAAAGTCATGAGGTTTCAGCCTTCATACACCTGGTTTCATCATAGATACCTATATATTGTGATATCTTGAGGAAACGGTTGTTCTTTCTCAAGGTTGGCCTTAAAGATAGAAAGTAAATGCAATTGCTTTGCTGTGCCAGGATTCTTAGTGAGCCAGTCTAAGCACTTTAAGTCTAGGGATGCAGTCCACATTGTCCACACAGTGCACAAGGGGACAGGGGGAGGACACGTTGATGACAAAGATGACATCACAGCTACTGCAGATCATCTTCAATACTGACGCAAGAGTTCCATCATTACCGTTGATAAGATAAAGGCAACATGGCTGTCATTTGTTTTCTCTTCCCACAGCTTCTTTCGTTCCCCTCTCACTCTCAGAGGAAGTCGTGTAGGCCTCAAGGCTGGGAAGAGATGTGCTCTTATGCAAATACTGACGAGGAGCAGGAAACTATCCTGCACATGTGCAAAATATCCAGCAATAGGGAGGGTGGGATGTGTCTCTTTACATGTGGGCCAGACGGGAAGATGGAGGCACATGCTACTATGTGACAAGCCTTTTATTTCAAAAGGCAGAATTGAAGAGCTTGAGATGCCTAAATCAGTTCGGACATGTTTTGAAGTCAACAAACTTGCCTTGCAATAGTTTATAAAAGCCCATTTTCTAGTACTCCACCCACTATAGTCTTTTTATGATGCCCGCTCAGGTTCAAAAAAAGGTCTGAGGTCACAGCGTGACCTTGCTGAGCCTGAGGGACAGACTGGAGCGTTGCTGCGTGCGTGGTAATGTGGAGCTGCAGCGACTGCGCAGCTGAACCGGCCTCCCCTCAGAACCACGCAGACGCAACAGGAAGTCAAAGTTCGCAGACGTGCTCATGGCGTAAAACACGTTGGCATTGTCAGGGATGACCAACTCTGGAGAAAAAGAAAAAAGATTGCAAACATGATGCGGGGATTCCATCATAACAAGCTTAAATAGATTAGAGCACTAAGATTTAAAAATGTGTGAGACACACAAGATCCACAAGTTTTAATGTTGTACCTCTCTCCTCAGAGATGACCTGCACCAGCTCGTAGTCGGCAGCCTGCTCACCCTCCAGATTGTGTTTGGCCATGGCTCGAGAGATCACCGCTGGAGTTTTGTCTTGACTGGTCAGCTGCATGGAGAAACAATCATTCGTTTTACAACTCTTTATGAGCTTAGTGCTATTTGCAGCCAAGAATGATGATCCATTTGTGTCCTATATTATAAAAACAGCTATATATTTTCAAATATAAAAACCCATTTATACTGTGTAATAACAACAGTAAGTGAGATATAAAAAAAAACAGCCTGTGGTTTGCAAAATTAAATAATTGTCTGATATATTCACACTGTACTAAAGCCAAAATAAATTATCAAATTAGTATCTAAAAAAAAACGTATTTGTAAGTTGACAGTGTTAATTCCATTCCCTCCCCAACTATTAATGTGGAATGTATAAACCTAAATAGGAAAAAATTAAAAATGTTATTAAATTATTGAATTTTATATAATAAAAAGAATATTTTTTATATATTGCTTATAATATTTATTACCTGTTGAATTTAAATAATTCTAAAGCACTTTAAACTTATGTACATTGTAAGGAAGGAGAGATGAACACTTAGAAATATATATTTTTTCTTCACAAAACAATATATAGATTTTAGATTTCTTTCTGCTAAAAATGAAAAGAATAAAATAATCACAGTTAATCTCACAATATTTGCCTAGACCCCAGACCACAACTTGAAAACTAATGTATTCTTTTTTTAAAGCATATCTGCCTGATTTTAAACACTAATTAGCAATAATTAAAATGTCTTTTAATATAATTAAATATAAAAAGGGTGTTAAACTCCAGAGCAAGTAGGTAATCAATCAGTAACTAATCGTACTATATTTGACCAATATATTAACAATGGTCAAATATACTTTTAATATAAGCAAGAATAGATTGCACACACTGATAAAGTAGATGAATGTTATTCATCACTAACCATGATACTCTTGTAGAGGTTGCCGTTTCCCTGTTCGAGGCTTACTCGGATGATGCATGCATCCTGAGCTTGTGTGTTATAGGCAGGTGGAAAAGAGGGTGATGTGGGGGTCATGGGCGTCAGTGACATGGAGCGCCGATGGTTGCAGGGGGGCCCGGGCAAGGTTGGGGAGGCCATAGAAGCACTGGCTGTAGAGGAGGAGGTGTCCATGGAGTGCAATGAGGTGCAAGAGGAAGACTCGGACAGCTATTGTAACCAAACAGATGTCTGTTTTAATACTTTCATTTAATACAACAGTATATCAAGAATTTTGCCATGATTTAGGATGTTTGTACCTTCTTAAGATGAGTGTCTATAGAGTGCGTGGGTGTCATGCCTTCACTCTCTGAGGGACTAGAGTCACTGGAAGACACACTGACTGAGTCCATGCTCTCCCCTGAGCTGCCAGTAGGAGGCGACCGAGGACTCTCTCTCACAGGAGAGCTTGTGTTTGTGGCATCAGGTCCTAAGAAGAGTCTAAAGAGGTTGTAAGGACAAAAAAGATAAATGAAATACCTAACAAGTCTTCCTCTTTGAATATGCATTACTGTTCAAAAGTTTGGGGTCAGTAAGATTTTTAATGTTTTTGAGAGAAGTCTCTTTTCCTCACCCAGGCTGCATGTATTTGATTAAAATACAGTAAAAACAGTAATATGGTTAAATATTATTGCTATTTAAAATTACAGTTTTAATATATTTAAAAATACAATTTATCCCTGTGATGAACAGGAGTGAACAGGAAAGCATTCGTTTGAAATAGAAATCTTTTGTAACAAAGTAAAAGGTCACTTATAGGCATCTCTACTGTCACTTATAGGCATGTTTTCTTTATTTCATGGGGTCTTAAGTATAAAGCTTGATTGATTCAGATATTAAAATTTTGGTTTTAGGTCACTCACAGGCTCAATCTCTTCACCATACTCTTGCGGGGTTTTGGTGACGTTGGGCTGTTGTCTCCCAATCTTTCGACTTCACACGACAGCGCATAGCTGAGTGACAAACATGAGTGACCAATATTAGCAATGAGACTAACACATAAAAAAAAAGAGAGAGAGAAAAAAGTGTGTACCTCTCCTCTTCTGAATGCTGAGGCTGACTTTTAAACCAGCGCAGAAATGTGGGGTCAGGGGTCAGACAGTAACTGTTGCACGCAGACTGCAGGAGCTTAATCTGAGCGATCACTTCAAACTCCTGTAAAGAGAGAGATTTTGTTCAACATTCCCACAGACCTAAGGGATTCAACAGATGTTTTGACTATAATAAAGACCAAATAATAAGGAATGTTGTACTTACTCTGCGCCGCTTTTCGAAATTAATCAGTCCTCCCTGTGAAGCACAGAAAGAAACTTTAGTCCAGATTCTCCACATGATTTTACTCATGAAAAGTTTGATTACAGTGCTTGTGAAACAATCCAAAAGAAGGTCAAATAAACCTTGGTAATGAAAACCTTACTGGTCTGGGAATGCTAGGTCAATAATAACACCAGAGATAATTCTTTATGAGGTTTTCTTTTACTCTGGGAATTTGTGGTGGATGAACAGCTGACTCACCTCCGCTTGGTCAGGCAGTGCTGTATCAAGCATGGTCAGATCGGTGAGAAATGTACCCAGGTATGGGATCGTCCCCTGCATGGCACCCTGGAAACAATATAGTTATGTATATTTTTGTCTGCTTCAAGCTAACATGGTACTTTTTCACTCACTTTAACACTTTAACTCTTGCTCTCAAATAAAGTACCGGTACGTATACATACTATCTTTTGGGGCTTTTTTTTACTAACTCACCATCTCTTTCTGCAACTGCAGTCTCTTTTGGGATCTTTTCTGGTGGTCTTTGCCACAGCTGTCAAGACTGGCAAATTTTGAGGTGCCCTCCTGAAGATCAGAGAGATGTCATTAGTTTTTAGCAAGCCAAGAAGAAATAAATCTTCTGTACTGTTTTTTTTAAACAGTTAGTTAAATGGAGTTAACACTTTTGTTGGTAGCTAAAAGCATAATCAAATTAACCTAAAAACATAATAAACAAACATGATTCCATGTGCGCCTTATTAGTGAACGCTAACTTACAAAATGCCTCTGTGCAAAGAAAACACAACATAAGCAGAACTGTGAATGAGAGACGTGTGTGAGCTCACCCTCATTAGCAGTTCCCGGCTTGTAAGGTAATTATTCTGGTCGGAGAAGATATCGGAAAGCTCTTCAAACATCTGCATGCTGTCTCTAATGTAGCATAGTGGAATAAAAACAATTCGAGATTATGAACATGTCATAATAACAGAATACACTACACCGTTCAAAAGTTTGGGATCAGTAAGGCTTGTTGGTTTTTTAAAAAGACGATTCTAATGTTCACCAAGGCTGCATTTATGTGATCAAATACAGTTAAACCAGTGAAATATTGTTACAATTTCATTTTTATTTTATTTTAATATACACTCACCTAAAGGATTATTAGGAACACCATACTAATACTGTGTTTGACTCCCTTTCGCCTTCAGAACTGCCTTAATTCTACGTGGCATTGATTCAACAAGGTGCTGAAAGCATTCTTTAGAAATGTTGGCCCATATTGATAGGATAGCATCTTGCAGTTGATGGAGATTTGTGGGATGCACATCCAGGGCACGAAGCTCCCGTTCCACCACATCCCAAAGATGCTCTATTGGGTTGAGATCTGGTGACTGTGGGGGCCATTTTAGTACAGTGAACTCATTGTCATGTTCAAGAAACCAATTTGAAATGATTTGAGCTTTGTGACATGGTGCATTATCCTGCTGGAAGTAGCCATCAGAGGATGGGTACATGGTGGCCATAAAGGGATGGACATGGTCAGAAACAATGCTCAGGTAGGCCGTGGCATTTAAACGATGCCAATTGGCACTAAGGGGCCTAAAGTGTGCCAAGAAAACATCCCCCACACCATTACACCACCACCACCAGCCTGCACAGTGGTAACAAGGCATGATGGATCCATGTTCTCATTCTGTTTACGCCAAATTCTGACTCTACCATCTGAATGTCTCAACAGAAATCGAGACTCATCAGACCAGGCAACATTTTTCCAGTCTTCAACTGTCCAATTTTGGTGAGCTCTTGCAAATTGTAGCCTATTTTTCCTATTTGTAGTGGAGATGAGTGGTACCCGGTGGGTTCTTCTGCTGTTGTAGCCCATCCGCCTCAAGGTTGTGCGTGTTGTGGCTTCACAAATGCTTTGCTGCATACCTCGGTTGTAACGAGTGGTTATTTCAGTCAAAGTTGCTCTTCTATCAGCTTGAATCAGTCGACCCATTCTCCTCTGACCTCTAGCATCAACAAGGCATTTTCGCCTTACACCATTCTTTGTAAACCCTAGAAATGGTTGTGCGTGAAAATCCCAGTAATTGAGCAGATTGTGAAATACTCAGACCGGCCTGTCTGGCACCAACAACCATGCCACACTCAAAATTGCTTAAATCACCTCTCTTTCCCATTCTGACATTCAGTTTGGAGTTCAGGAGATTGTCTTGACCAGGACCACACCCCTAAATGCATTGAAGCAACTGCCATGTGATTGGTTGATTAGATAATTGCATTAATGAGAAATTGAACAGGTGTTCCTAATAATCCTTTAGGTGAGTGTATTTTAAAATGTAATTTATTCCTGTGATGCAAAGCTGAATTTTCAGCATCATTACTCCAGTCTTCAGTGTCACATGATCCTTCAGAAATCATTCTAATATGCTGATTTGCTGCTCAATGCACATTTTTTATTATTATCAATGTTGAAAATGGCTGTGCAGCTTAATGTTTGATACAGATTGTGATACAGTCTTTTTTCAGGACTCTTTGATAGAAGAGAAAGCTTGAAGAACATTAATTTGAAATAATAATCTTTTCTAACATTGTGAATGTCTTTACTGTAATTTTTTGATCAATTTAATGCATCCTTGCTGAATAAAAATGTATTTAAAATAAATAAATAAATAATAACGATCCCAAACTTTTAAATGGTAGTATATATCCATCTAGACACGTAACTAGTAACCATAACATAACTGGTAAACATAACCAATAATATTAAAAGGATATGAATAATTTTAGCACCCTATATAGTGTTTAAAAATAAAGAAAAGACTGACAGGCTTGTTTATTGACAGAACTTACTTGGCAACAGAGGCCCACGTTCTCTTCAGTCTGTAGATGGGGTTGGACTGCAGCGCCGACACTATGGCTCTTAGAGACGAGAAGTTCTTACGAATGCGACACTCCTGAGAAAGTTAATCCATATTTACACATTTTCTTTTACAAATGGTCCTAATTACACTTTATCCGAAATCTTTTGGGAGGCTGAATGACATTATTATGTCTACTTTGGTTTATCTAGATCTAAACTAAAACAGTTATGTCTTACAAAGACATAGATTAGGTGTAACTCTTTACCAAAATGCACAGAGAATGGTAAATGCCTTTTGTAAAAAAAATATATTACAGATCAACATCAGGCTTTAATTTTGCCAGGAAATCTAAAGTGTTGCTGGAAAATCAAGCGACACTAAAGTGCAGCAGTTCTCAAGAACCAGAGGTCGAAAAGTTTGAACATGAGCATTAAGTTATATTGGGACCATTCAAGCGTGTCTGTGTGTTGGGTTATGCACCTGTGCAATGTCAATCCAGCGCTGGATAATGCGAGCACGCAAATGTGGGCGTATCTGACGCTGGCGAAGGATGGTGCTGACCACACACGTTGTTACCGCATTAAATTGGGTGATGGTGGCACGTATGGTGGGCGCGCTCTGTTTGCCGTCCTTTTTATCACGCTGAGACCAGATAGAGCCCAAACAGTGATGAGGAACCACCCTCTTAAATAGCAGCTGTGGAAGGAAGGAAATATTTCATTGCTTGATTCAAAGAATGTGCAAAATAAAGTTTGCATCATTACTATATACAGCTTTCTCTCTCACCGCATCCATATAGGTCAGCTGCTCTGCTACAAGGTCAACTTCGAAGGAGAAGAAGTCCTCTTGCAAATCGATCTCCACTTCCTCATCTTCCCCAAGGCAGAATGGGTTGGTGTACTGAAAGCCTCCTGCAACAAATGGACAGCAGGTGTTTTTGTATGCACAGGAAGACTGAACAAACATGAATAGACAAAGGAGGTATAAAGTTCGATAGAGGTACGGATAAAATAATTAATCCGGATATGACTTGCCTTCAGACTCATTCTCTAGACTGGCCTGGACACGCAATTGTTCTAGCAGACTCTGAGCCCGGCGCATTGGCTCTGAGCCCGGCATGGCCTTCTGCAGGAAACCCAGCACACGATGCAAACTCGGATATGATGGAGGTTCCTGGAAGTCCTCTGGACACTGATCCAACCAGGCTCTCAGAATAGAGGCCAAAGCACTGGAAAAAAAAGAAAGAAAAATAACACATAGATGTTTGTATAAACCAGAAAAAACCAGATGGCGCAAACTAGTGAGGGAATCTTTCATAGTACACTTTAACTGGAATTCTGTGATTCATGCAGCAACCAAACACTATTCATTAGTTCCCTTTTATTTCTAATCGCTTCCAAACTCACATACACACAATAGCACAGAGTTTGACCTCTATTTTTAAGCTTCTATGGAAATGAAACAACAAACACAAGAGCTGCCAGAAGTCACTGCAGATATAACAGCACAGATAACCACGCCGAAGACACTCACGTTCTCACAGCGCCTCTGCTCTCTCCAGTCTGACACTGGTTACGCTCCCCCTCACAATCCTCAAAACTGCCATACCTGTGAAAGAAGAGAGAAACCAGCTGGTGAACATGCTGACAAATGGCGAAGGGAGTAACCACTGTATAAGAACCCAAAATAAAGTATAAAATATCAGGTATGAAAGTAAAATAAAAATTTTGGATTCCCACATTTTCAGACAAATAAATGACCATGATTTTTCCATGACTTTTCTAGTCATTTGCGATGACTATTATGCATTTTTAAAGAGGACCTACGATGCCCTTTTACAATTTCTTGATTTCTTGAAGTTTTCATGGTTGAATTTTCAAAAAACACAAATTGGATGGGAATAATTTAAATGAGGAATATTGTGACGTGTACATTCTAAGTAGAAAATACAAGACTGCAAATCGAGGCGTTTCAGAAGTTCAGGAACAATGCTTACTGATATAGAGAATAACTCCCTTTGGAGTGACTTTGTGCTTTGTAACTTTCATGTTCAAACAGCAACATTACACACTAAAGTAAGTTGAAAATCTAAAAAAAAGCATAATAGGCCCTTTAAAAAAAAATGTTTTGACTATAAAAACTTCCATAACTTTTTATTCATTTCCAAGACATTTTGTCAGGCCTAAAATTCCCTGATATTTCCATGTCTTCCAAGACTGTTGGGATTCCTGTAGATCTTAACCGACTGTGTTTAAGTTAATACCTTGCCAAGATGGGCATTTCTACTTCCTAAGCTGATCACCGCAAGGCTCTTGCGTGTACGCAAAAGTGAGCATTCAAAACAGCCAGTCAGAATGCATTCAGGTTTATCTTGACATTTATGATGTGTATTAACACATAAACATGCACACATGTGTACACACCTGTCCAGCAGCAACTCCAGTACATTCTGTGTGGTGGCAAAGGCCCTGTATGTGGAGAGGAAGATGCTGGTGTAGGTCAGGTCATTATCACCGAACGCTGTGAGGAGCGTCTCTACCAAGCGCTCAAGTGTCCCCGCCCGGATACTCCTGATCTTACACGTCTCCAACTGACTGACCGTGTGACCTGGGGGCAAGCGGTCACCCTCTGCCTGAGAGAGCAAAGCAAGAGGAGAGAAAAATACCGTGAGAGAAATATAAAATCAGTTCAATTAAACACGCACCCAAGTATCGTGCAGAGAAACAGAGGGAGAAAAGCAGAAATAAACAGGGCAAAGAATGAGACCTTGGTACTGCAAGCACGCTACAACAGGAAACTCTACAATCTGCTTTTAATCAGAGCAATCCTCCTCCTCCCTCTCTGAGACACGCTGGAAAGTCGGCAGACTTTTTAAAAATGCTTCATTAGTTGAAAAATACAATGGTTGTGTGGTTCACAGGCCTATGTGATTTAAAAGTTGCCACAAAAAGGTGAATATTATAGTTAACTCAAACTAAAACTGGAACAAACAAAAAAAACATTTATTACATAACTGAAATAAAATAAAATACATAAAACTTAAACTTATTTTATTTCAGCTAGCTGTCAAGGCAACATTTCTGCCTAGTTTAACCTAATAAACTAACTAACTAAACTAAAACTGAAATAAAAATTAATTAAAACTTTAGACATATTTTTAAAAACCATAAACTATTTAAAAATGACAAAAAAATAACAAAATTACTAAAACTTTAACAACAATTAAAATGAAAACAGAAAATATAAAAATAACAAATAAAAACCCCAGACTCAAAATATTAATAAAAACAATAATAGTATCTCAATGATACAAAAGTAACACTGTATCAGTGGAACAGCAAGAATACTAACCTTTTAAACGAACAAATAACGTGAAAACTAGGTCAAACATTAAGCACCGTGACCTCTCTAAAACAGAGCTCTAACTGATGCCCGAATGTAAAACTTGCTTTCTTTTAATTGCAACGTCAATCAAATCTGCATTTACATTTTTACAGCATGAGTACTGTAAAGTTAACTTGCTTTTGAAATCAGCATTATCATGAATGTCATATTTATGAAATGAACTGTTTTTTTACAATGTAGAAACATCTGTGTTACAACAAACTAAAGCCCTATGGAAATCACGTCAGCTCATAAGTGCTTTGTTTTCAGAAGGGTGTTGACAATATGGAAAAAGTTATTCAAGGTTAAAGCAACAGATTATACCATATTCACCGCTGTAATTCGGAACGGAGCCATAACAGCATGGCTTCATAAAATAACAATGTTGTATAAACCTTGAAGCTCATACAGCAAATTTTTGGTTGAAAACCTTTGCAACAGAGAATGTTTTCCTGTCAATAAAACACATAATAAATAGCTATCACATTGAGGAAAACAAAGAAGGTATTTTGAAGAACTGTTTTTGTCCATACAATTAAAGACAATGGGGTCCAAAAAAACATGATTGAAAAACATTTTTCAAAAGAAAAATCTTCTTTGTGTAGAATAAAGTAAGTCATACAGGTTTGGATGACATGAATGTGAGTAAACGATGACAGAATTGAAATTTTTGGGTGAAATATCCCTTTAACCAAGCTTTTACCAAACAAACAACTGTAGGCCTATATAAAGTTTCATGTGTTTTCTTGCAACGCCATAACCATGAAGACTAATGACTAGAACACTATAAGAACCCCACAAATAAAATACTTCCGTAAACCATAAAAAGCTTTAAATGGTCACCCTTAATATCCCCTACTGTCTGGCCAGCCCAGCATGGGCAGCTGAAGTGTTTCTTTAAATAAGAGTGGAAGTGCATTCAGATCAAAGGCCTCCGCTCACCCCCAGCCATCTTGCGCCTTTGTTAGCCGCCTGCTGGATTTGAACCCTCTTTAGCGTCACGTTGTATATGGCTCCTTCCTCGACCTCCTCTCCCCAGTCCTGCACAGAGCTCTGAAGAGGGAGAAAGCAATCAACGTTACGCCATTTGGAATGTTGTGGACTAAAACGGGGAACAATATGTCTTAGTTCGGCATAAACAGGAACCGTACTTAAATTTTAGTATCAAAAAACTGACAGACATGATGGGGTGTGTGGAGGAGAGAAAATGATAACTCATTTGGAGGAAGGAGACACAGAGAGAGGGGGAGAGACAAGAAATGAGATCAGAGCTGGCATGGGGTTTTAAAAATCAGCCTAAGAGCTTTTACAGATTCTTAATAGGGAAGGATTTCTCCATCCAGCCTTGGAGTTCAAGAACTAAACTCAGAGAAGTCTATAAACATACACACTCATATGCTTTCTCAGACAGACACACACACACACACAAATACAAACAGTATAATGTGATGCCCAGCATTAAGTGTCTGGATGAGTGGAGTCTTTCAGGCTGTGCACAGCTTAACACTCATATTAAACTGTCAGACAGAGGATTTTGATAATTTCTGCCCTCTTCAGTCAATAACAATAAAGTAGAGCTGTGATATATGAAACCCTCCATAGTCTCTCATATTCAAAGTCTCTCTGTCTATCATCTCCATTAAAGTCAGATCTTTTCTTCGATGTTGTGATGTACTATCATTGTTGGGGTTTACAGTAGAGCTCAAAAGTTTACATATCCCTTGCAGAATCAGCTAAATTAATTACTTATTTTAACAAAATAAGAGGGATTTTTCTGAAGAACATTGTGCAGTTTAACTGCTCAGAACAAACAAGGGACTCAACCATCAAAAAAGGTAGTGGATCATCCAAGTAACAACACAGTATTAAGAACCAAGGGTGTGTAAACTTTTGAACAGGGTCATTTTTATAAATTCAGCTTTTTTTTGTCTTGTGGACTATATGTAAACATATTTTATGTAAAATATCTTATTCAGGACTAAATAAAAAAATAACATGCATTTTGTATGATACCTCTTATTTTGATAAAATCATTAACAATTTGCAGATTCTGCGAGGGATATGTAAACTTTTTGAAACTTTTGATTGTATGAAGACAAATGATTGGAGAAGTCCTGCATACAAAAGCAGAGAGAAGTCTGTCGTTTCACCGGAAGATCCAGTTAAGACATTTTAATTAAAAAAATAACATTTATTTTTAAAAAAGAATTAAAAAGAATTAAAAACATGCGTTCACAATAAGGTCAATAACATACATTTAGAAATGTTCCTTTTATGCCCACTTTAAAGACAAATGTCCTTAGAGTGCAAATAAATTAGAAAAGTAGGCATAAAAAATTAATGCTTTAAACGAGTGAAAAACTGCCAATTGAACAAGACAAAAAAAATCACATTTAAGACATTTTCTCTAAAAAATATTCTTACTCTTTTAATGCAATTTCATAAGACATTTTTATCTGGAAATTGTTTTGCAGTGCATACTTAGGAGACTGTGGGAATGACCAGATGCTTAGATATTTTATAAACGTTACCTTAATGCACACAAAAAACAAAAGTTTGACCTAAATGAACGTGTGAAATATTGCTCACGAACGACATCACCAGACTTTTTTCCAAAAAGATTCCAGAAGTCTAGAAAAAGTCAGGCTGCACTATGGAATTATGGACGTGTCCTTGGAATTATTGTGAAAGTCAGAAGACCTTATTGCCTAGCGTGTATTTATGTGAATCCAGCCAAAGCCATCTTGTGACCTCTCAGACCCTTTTTCAATGACGGTTTTTATTTATTTGGTACCCTCCAATCTTGAACAGTTAGTTATATGGGTGTATGTATGTATTTCTACAACGCTTCAATAGTTTTAAAAGAACATATCTGTACATTACTTTCAAAGTAATCAACCTTGACATTTAAAACATCGGCCTACTGAGTCTTTTCACTATTGCAGCACATCCAGACTACGTCTGCAGATTTATGCAGCTGAAAGAGTAACTGTCCCTGGAATGAAGCGGATCAGTCTGTCTTTATTTCCCGGGCCGTTTCCTGTACAGTGCGTTCAGATAAATACTCAGCTGGATGAGTCATGCAGTTTGCACTCAAAAACAATGGTAGGAGGTCTGCATACCCGCTGCCCGGACCCTGCCGAGTCCATAGTCTATGCACTGTGCTGCTCCTTTGTGCTGGATGAAATGTTTTCCAAAGCGGCTTTTAAAGCCTGCTCAGCGGCACAAGCAGATATTGGAGAGGGTGGGACTACATATGAAGAAACTAAATAGTTTTTTTCTGAAATAAAACAAGCTGAGTACTAGTATTTGTGACCACATGTGGTACATCTGAGTAGATGGGAGCTCTATGAAGTCAGGTTTATTAGTTTTATTTATCGGGTTTATTTTAACTAGTTAATTTTATTACATTTTATTCTATTGTTTTGTCAATTGTTTCACTGTGTTGTTATCATTATTTTATTAATAACCATATTTTATTAATATTTGCCCAATATAATATTTTATTGATTTAAATGTATTATTATAGCAATGCCAGTTCCAAACTCCAATGGAACATAAAAACTGATGAAAAATACGTTGAATGCATAGAAAGCATCTTCATAATATGTAAATATAAGCCTGTTTTTGTTCTTTGATAAACAATAAAGTTAATAAACTTGGTCAATTAAAATGGACTATTGTCCTAAAAACCCATACAATAGACTCTATGTTTTAATAAACAATCATTTTAAGTCCTGAAAAAGCATTACAACGAATGGCTGTGCTGTGGGACATTTGAGCACTTTGTTTAGGTCCCTAAAACTCCTGTAAACAAACATTGAAAGGATGCTGACCGTTATCATCACAAACAGAGACGTTTTCTACCCCCAAGCCTGCAAACAAAAACAACACAACCCCAAAGTCCATGAGAAACAATCCCTCACCGATAACAACAATAACAAGTGGGTTTAAGCCCATCTGTCCTCTTTGTTTTCGTCTGCAGAGCCTGGAGGCTGTTCATCACAACAGTAGAAGTATTTCTAGAGTGAGAAACTAACGGGAACCTCCGCCTACATGGAGACGATCAGATCCAAAGCCAGCGTGTGTGATAAACAGACGAGTGCGATACAGTATTGCAGTAAAATATAATCTAAAAGCATTATTTGTATTCCCCACGCCCTCCTCCTCCTCCAAACTCTTTCTTTATCCTCCACTCCAAGCTCTCTATCCCCCTCCCTCTCCCTCTGCTTCTCCCTCTCCCCTCTTTCTCTCTAGAAGCTCAAAGCCGCAAAATCAACAGTGTGGCAGGAGGCAAACGCAACTTCTTACCATTTTAGCTTTCCAAGCGAATTTCATGGTGAGGGCCTCTCTCATCGTCCGGTAGCGGCATTAGAACACAGCCCAAGTCCAGCGAGAAAGGGTCAAATGTTTTCAAGTATAGTAGGCTACGCAGAGCTATCCTGTGTGGATTGTCCTCCTACAGCGCACACACATAGTCCGTCACGGATGGAGCCTCAAGCTGCCAGTGATCGCGCTCTCTCTCTCGCTCTCTCTCTCTCTCTCTCTCTCTCTCTCTCTCTCTCTCTCTCTCTCTCTCTCTCTCTCTCTCTCTCTCTCTCTCTCTCTCTCTCTCTCTCTCTCTCTCTCTCTCTCTCTCTCTTCTCTCTCTCTCTCTCTCATCTCTCTCTCTCTCTCTCTCTCTCTCTCTCTCTCTCTCTCTCTCTCTCTCTCTCTCTCTCTCTCTCTCTCTCTCTCTCTCTCTCTCTCTCTCTCCCTCTGCTCTGCTGTCCACCCCCGCTCCAGTAAATGACACAACTCCGCCCACTGCGCTCCCGCTCCTTCTCCCTCCCTCCCTCTTTAGTCGTTTGATTTATATTTCTTTTTATTATTATGGAATATTGTTATATAATAATATACAATAACAATAATAATATAGTGTAGATAACTAAATAAATGCCAGAGAAGTTAAAGTGACAGTGCACAGGAAAAAAAAAAATCAATTCTGACATCATCTATTCACCTTTATGTGACACCAAAATCGTATTATGGTTGTGAAATACGAGTGGCCTAGATGTTAAGCAGAATGTTAAAGCTGTTTCATTTTTTTATTTATTCATAGGCCTACTTTATTTATTTTTCATATAGGCTAATGGATGGTGAATGAATGCAGCTGTCAAACTCCCAAAGGTCAAAAGTCAGTGCCATATGCGGGCCAATTATGGTATGGTGGAATTTGTAGTTTAGGTGAACAATTCATTAAAAGGCTTATGGTCATGACTCATGACTTTAGTTACTTAAGAATGTAATACTAATTATCACAATGCTATTGAAATGAAAGTCTTTAATCTTTAATCTATCTTTAATCTTTTCAAATGGCCCAAGATGGGAGGTTTCTGATGGGATTGGATCTTCTTCTTTTTTGTGGTTGGTGTAATGGTATTTTTATAAACTTTTTAAATTAAAAACGGCAAAATTTGAAATAAAAAGTTAAGTAGGCTATCACTATATTACTGTCGGTCATTTAATATTACTACTATTGAAAAACAGTTGTTATATTTATGTTATGTTACAATTGTTATGTTCAGCTGTACATCTTACCTTGCTCTCTTTCCCTGTTAAATCTGAAACATCAAGCAAGAATTCATGTTTGGCTTCTGTGTGTAAAGCTCACTTTCTTTGATTTGACTGGCCATATCAATCACTTTGACATTGACAAGCACTGTTAGACCGGTGAAACAGAACAGCCTAAAAACAACACCACCAAAGTGGAGAGTAATGGGGTGCAGCAAAGCAGCACCAGGAATATCAAATATTGAGGGAACAATTTGGCCATTTTTAATTACTGAGGAGAGGGAGGGATCTGTCCCCCATACTGTCTATGGTGGTTACAGCCCTAACTCAGAGACAATATGAGGAAGGCTGACGCTGTATTGTCTAGAAGGGATTTTCCCTTTTATCCCTTATGTGCAGGACGTCTGGATTTTCATTTGTATGATCGCAGGAACCTAGTGGATGAAATTAGCAGGTGTCATGTGGGCCTTCACACACACAGACACACTTGGTTTCTCATA